CGTTCGTTTTTTTTAGAATCGAATTCTTCTACTCAAGAATTGAGTGTCCGTTAGTTGTCTTGCAGTACATTTGTGCAGTTCAGAAACATAGTCCAGAATGAAGAAGTTATAAATCTAATGAGTAGATTAAAATGAAATGTCTGATGGTACTAGTTCATTCAAAAAGAAATGCCATCCAGATCAGTTCTTATCACAAGAACTGTTGGGATAGTCCTCAAGATGGGAACTGATATGGAACTCTGCTGGCTCTAGCCTGCAGTCAAAACAACTTGTGAGCTTGAATTGATGTTGTAATAAATTTTTGAAGATCTATTGGTTATAGAAAACGTTCCAAAAAAAAAACTATTTTCACTGACATAAAAAAAAAAGGTGATTGATCACTTCGTCGCACGACAATACGTCGCGATCAACTCGTCGCATCTCTTTTAATTAATGCATCTTTATTTTGTGCATTATACATAAGATAAAGATGAACAAATCGGGAAAACTGTCTTTTGGTCACCAAATATAATTATTGCGAAATAACTAGTATAATATTAGTTGTTTTTGACTGGTTGTATAGATGATATGTCTATTATAGACAGTCGATGGATGAGAGTGAGGGTGTGAGTGTGGATGCGGATAAGGGTGAGGGTGAAGATGAAGATTTTGAGAGAGGATATGTCCTATACTGATGGTGCGGATGAGGAGGGTGAAGAGAGATCAGCTCTCTTGTTATCTGGCTATGCGACTGTGATGGTTTAACGACAAACGAGACAAAGATGAAAAAGCTCGAATAGCAATATTTTCATGAGTTTTTTCCCCAGTATCTCTGGTACCACAATTCATCCTGTTTGGTGTTGGTATAGTTTTTTGTGATGTCACTCTTTTTAACTCGAAGCTTTTCTTCATGTATTTATTGCTTTTGCTACTAATAGTTGATTTGATGATCAGTTGTAGCATTTTTGGTGCTCAAAAATATTCATACCCATCACTTTAGCTCTATCATGATCACATTTGATTAATATTTTCTATTGATCCGTTTTCTCAATTAAAGTGATACGCTTTAGAACAATCTTTTATTGTTATTGTACCCATCTCTTGCAATTTTCCATTTCTTTATTTTATTTTGATTGGTTATACAAGAAAAAAGAATTAATTAAAAGAGATGTGACGAATTTTACTAGTGCCAAAAAATCACTAGACAATCTTTGCTATGCCTATTGAAAAGATTATGCAAGATGGTGTCGAATTCTAGGAATGGATTCCTGCTGTTTGAATAATCAGAATTGAACATGCACAGGTCGGGCTGACAAGAATGGAGCAAAACGAATTCGTTGTCTTCACAGATCAAAAAGACTTGTGCCATACATGGATGTATCAGGTCAAGCGCTAAGATGGATGACAACGCATGGAACTTCAGAGTCCGGAGTAGTGAGCACTAAAGAAGAATTTCATACTTTGCTTTATTTTCGGAAAGCTTCCAGGCAGCTGATTCTAGGTCATGCTGAAGAAAAAAGAAGAGAAGAATAACACGGAAAGACGAGAGAACTGAAGACTCAGCGAAGAAGAAAAAACAAAAACAACATGAATTGAAAATGAGGTCTAAGTCTAGAAGAGACAAGAACGAGAGGAAAGAAAAAAAAATACGTATACGAATACGTGTTACTCATCTATCTTAAGCATGCTATCTAGACAATTATTTTATTGATCTTGTTCTTTTTTCTCTTCATACCGTATTTGTTGCTTCACACTTCTGTTTTTTTTTTATTCCTTTTTCTTTTATTCTTTTTCTGTTATTTTATTTCAATTCAGTTCACTATTTTTATGTATGATCCAAAAGCTCAACTATCCCTTTTAGGCCGGCATGGTCACAGGGCAAAATAATACTAATAATACAAAAAAATTTCCAAATAAACCTACATGAATACAGCTATATTGCTATGATGAGATGCCTCTGTAACAGCCATAAGCACTTTTCAAATATGTAGGATATATGACTGTTAGTCAGCATAACCATTGAGTAAACATTAGTTAGAAATGATATGCTCATTATTGAAATCAAGTTCGTTATAATAAAACAGGTTCGGAAATACCGAGATTTAACGGAAGTGTTTCTTATTGTAAAATAAGATGTTGTTTTGCGTCTTGTCCACTGTTAGTCTATACAAAATTAAAGTTTAAATCAGAAGGATCATGTCAAGCTAATGCTTTTTCTGATTGAAAATGACTTGTAAAGTTTTTCGTAAGTCATGTTGTAACAAAGTTTTATATGTGATTTATAAAGGTTTTGAAACTGCAAAAAAATAGGTGTTGGTGTTTTAATTTTATCTCTTTTTAACTCTGTTTGAAGACTGAAATGATCATTAATTGCTACTCTGAGATTATTTCCTTTTTCTTCGTACGTCTGCTATTCATTTGTGAATTTGAGTTATTATTATTTTTTTCATGGAACTAATTGGTCTTTTTTTTCCGGATCAAATTCATTTAAAAAAATACGATAAAAATCACATTAATGTATACTTAAAAACCTATTATAAATATATCTTTATAATCGACGTTTAATTGTTTTTTTAACAAATTTTAATTAAGCATAGCCTGAAAAAATCAAAATTTCATTTATTATCCAGATTAATTTCGATTGCAATACATTAAAACTTAATGAAAAATTCTTTCTCATTGACACCAACCAATGAAAATTAACTGAGAATTTTTTATTTATCGCAAAAAACCAATTAAAATTGATGTTTTTCCACAATTTTGAATCGATTTTAAAAGTAATTTTCACTCGAGTTTTTTTACATGGAAAGTATGCAAAATGAACTTTATTACAATCAATTTTATGCAGCGGATCTGTCACTTTCACGATAATCAATTCAGTCAAAGATCTTCTTGATTATACAGCGAAAAGAACGTGATTTACTGCTGTACATGTCGTAGATCTATGAAAATAAAATGCGGTGTACAGCGCTTGAAGAATACACTATTTTTTCCACGAAACAATGATTTTGATTATTATGAACCGCATCTTAGTAGTGTATTTGAAATGTTTTATGTGATTAAACCATTAACCAACTTTGAACGTTTTTTTTATTCATGTTATAGATTCAATTGTTCTGATTATGTCATAATCAGAAATCAGTATATTTTATTTAATCTTTTTTGAGAAGGAAAAGAACATTGAATAGAGGATAAAGTATGTTTTGTTAGTGATTAAATCAAAGACAACATTTAAAGTCAATATGGTGCATTGACATATTATTGTTCATGAGTTTATTGAGGTGTGACTGTAGGATTTTGCTGTGGTCTTCGTAAGAAAAATAACCGCTTCCATTGTACTTTCTTCCGTAACTCAGATACAAAACCAAGACATATGAATGGATACAGAAGTATTACAAAATAACATAGAAAATCGAAGTACAGCTCTGGTTCAACTCCTACGCTATCTGGTAGACCACAAAGATGAGCGAAAATTAAAAGATTCGCTGGAACATTGGGAATAAGGTATAGAAGAGCACTAGAAATTAATTGAATTATCATTTTACGTTGTCTGCGCCATTGATTACGTTGAGAAACAGCACGCTGCTTTCGACATTGAACGCGCATAAGAATAGTAAGACTAAAAATACATATGATAAATGTTGGTAGAATGCTATTCACTACAGAATCCCATATACCAAGAATAATATTATCCAAATAACATGGATAATCATTACAAACAGGTAATGTATAATCAAATGTATGCATACATGGTGGAAAGATTATGACGATTGTATAAAAAATCAATATGTAAAGAAGCAAAATGATGAGAGGTAAATAATGGAAAAGAAAACGTTTCTTTCCTTGAAAAAATATTCGATCATGAAAGATGAGCAAATAACGATGAATTGAACTCCATGCCATAATTATTGTATATCCATTGTATAGACCTAAATCCATAAACCACCATAAGATACATATAAAAGGTGTTGATGGTTGTACAACACCAAAATGTATAAAATTAAGATGAAAAGGTATATCCACTAATTCTATTATTAATCCGATAATAAGCAAAACAATCATAGCATGATTTACTAATTGACATCGTAAATTTTTGTTAATGAAAAGATGAAAAAGTAAGAATAAAGAACATGTTATTGATGGAATATCAAATGATAATAATAGCCAAAATCGAATCGAACGAGGTATAGGCGTTTCGGATTCATGAAATGCAGCTTCATTATTGTCATCATCGTTAAAGCTATCGTTGGTAGTCATTCTCTAAAAAGAAATATGAATGAAAATATTAATAACAATTTTCAATCTTTTATAGTTATCCTTATAATGTCAACATGTTAATTGCTATGATCAGGAAAAAAGAAGCTTTGGCTTAACTTTGAGAATAACGTTCATCTTAAATTGTGTCTTTTTATGTTTCTAATTTTCTTCTTTTTTTTAATATGAGACAAAGAAAAACAATTTTCATGAAAGCTTTTATAATTGTTGCACAATTAATTCTTGTTGATAGAAGAAATTTAAATCACATCATACAATATTCAGAGATAATGAGCTTCATGTATTAAACAATTAATAAAGTCTAAATGTGTACAATACCAATTCGCACTGGTAATGAATGCATGAAAACTTAAATGAATATCAATCAGGATGAAAATATACACTATCTTAAATTTGAATACACAATTAAACATGCATCAATAGTACTTCCTCAAATATTTTTTAGAATGTTTTTGCCGCAACTGGAGAACAACAATAGCAGTTATCGACTTGCGATGAGAATGTTTAGATTAGAAAATACTTCGGAAGGAGATTTAAGATATGTTAAGCTTGCACAAGGGAGATTGTAGGATATTGTAAAAGTAAAAATAAGATAGTAATAAGATTTACTCGGTGGATTGGTGACAATCATAAAAATCAAATTATTTTGTCTTACAGATACGAGCATGAATTTCTCAAGAATTCATCACTCTTGTCTTCTTTATTTCGCAGAAATAACACTGATTCAGTATTTATATTCTTCACATGAATACTTCCTCTGATTAGTCATCACCTCATATAAAATAGATTTATTTGACTAAGATATAACAGCTTCTAGTAACTGAAGGCTCCGGACATTGATGTTTATTTTTACTTCACATTTTTTTCAATATGTCTTAGAGCATAATAAACTCTATAGCATACTTCCTTTATAGCTACGTAATACCTTTCGTCGTAATACCATTATTTGTATGTTTGTAGAAATAAACATGTGCACATGATATTTAAAGAGCGAGACGTATTCTGAAAATCATCAACTTTTCTCAAGAAGAAGAATTTACCAGAGTTGCAGGACATGAAACAGAACTTTTACAGTCTTTTTTCCCCAACATATTTTACTAAAGTAAATAAAGATATCAGCAAAATATTGTTTGAGTTTTAATCTTTCTATTGTTTTATAATTCACTTAAGATACTATTACAGCAAAATATAATATTAAAAAAATGATAAAATAGTACAAGTTATGTACAATGCATTTGACTGCAGTTAAAACAACTTGTGAGCTTGAAATGATGTTAGAGCCAATTTTGGAAGATATATTGACCACTGGAAAATTTTCCAAAATAAAAGAGATTAATTATATTGTTTGCTGGATTAGTTCTTTTCTATTAAATGATAATGAACTAGTTAATGCTCCTTCAAAAATTACCCTCGAACTATGTATAATCAAATGTCATGAACTCTTCAGAATATGTTGAAGTTATAGTGGAGAGAGTATACTGAAGTTTTTAGCCCTATGTCATGACGTTCGAAGAAGGTATTCAATAAGAAAAGCCACCATATAGCTCACTTGGCAATCCAAAATTCTCTGTGGGCTTTCGTTCTACATAATTAATTTTTGTTGTTGGGAAGAGCATGTCAAACTCCTCACTTTTTAAGTGGAAAAAAGGATGAAAAGTTCAATGTGTCGGAAAGGTCTCAAAAAATGGCACTAACTATAAAAATTACTTTTTCATGTAATCGAAACAAAGCTTAATTTTAAAAAGGACTCTGCCATGTCCTGCATATGGATATGTTTATTCTTAAAAAAAAAAGATAACAAATAAATATGTATATAGAATGAAGACCGACAGAGAATTCTGACTTGTGCGATCAAAACATGAATAAACAGAAAAAAACGAAAAAAGATTCCCTGCTACTTCTGAAAAAAGCATATCTTTCAAGCAGGAGGTGACGGAGACCATTTAAAAAAACCGAAATGTCAAACAGTAAATGTTATTTATATCAGATTAGACTTCGGCCTATCTCCCATGCATTTATCTTAATTTTCATTTTTTTCCAAATTGATTTTTCTGATGAGAGTATCTTAATTTATCTTTTAATCCTGTTTTTTTTTCTACATTTATCCTTCGTTAAAGATATGTTAACAGTGAACGTTTTACTCCCATATGTCATGTCAAATTTTTTTTTCTTTTCAGTAAGCAAAAAAAGACTTATTCAAACAATAGTCTAATCAATGAAAAAAAAGACGCCTGCAGTATGTAGGAATCTCAACACTCTTGTAATCAAAAACTGATTGCAATTGCTGAAAATATGTATCGTGTACATATTGAAACAGCGATAATCGTATCAGTTAGTATTTACAAAATAAATCAATTCTCAACGTAGAAATTAAATAATGGAATAACAAGTTATTAATGTTATATTACTTTCTTCGGCTGAATTACTAATTAGACTAAATGATAAGAAAAAGTATAGGCTTCTAAATATAACTAGGTGCATTATGATCCTTTCAAGTGCATTAGTTCGTAATTTTAGCTTCTGCGAAATATTATTTAATGTTTTTTAAAGTAGAGTAAATGTATAATTAACATACTCCGCAGACATTTGCAGCTTCAAACTACACATAATAATCTGCACACTTTGAAATATTTTATTATCAGCATTTTCCTCTTCGCACTTATTCTATTGATGATTCCCTTTCTACTAATTATAATATAAATCAGACAAGAGCATTCTATTATTAGATTAACGTATCGATAAAAACATAAATTTTTTTAAACAATATAAATCTTATAAAAGCTATTACAAGCAAAAACCACGAAAGTGAGGACGCATATATTTTCTCTTCTTGTCCATCTTTGAACATTTGGACATGGCTGAAAGAGCATTATGCAGCAGTTATGTTTGGTGATGAGGTATTCAAAATGCTGTAACTATACATTATTCTGTTTTAATGAAAGAAACGACGTAATAAATTAATAAGTTTATAGGACATTATTCATATTAGATAAAAATATGAATGACATAGATAGATTTTTCTTATGTTTCTGTTATCTGAATTCAATGGTCGTTATATTAAAATGAAATAATTTAAAATGTGACTTATATTCAATAAAATTTTGAGTATAATAGATTTTGTATAACAACTTAATGTTGTTGACAGAAACCTAGGATTCGTTCTTTAATTAATTCATTTTGAAAATTAACGTAATCAACAAACTAAGAACAGAACGTATATTGATTTTTTGAAATATAACTGCTGGTAGTTAACTATCAGAAATCATAATACTGTTCGATTGCGCAGTAATAGTTAAAATTTCCTTTAATTATTTGATTAATTCCTTATGAAAATGATGCTCGATCGAATAATTTTGGATAAAAAAACTTGTATGATTGCGTCATTTTTTTTATGATAGATGAACAATTAGAAACTGTCAACTCAGATTTAACTTATTTACTCCAGGGATCATGAACTACGAACTCGAGAAAACTCAGGCTCTTTTATCTCATTTCTATAAAAGATATGAGATGAAAATATTCTGAAGTCTTGATGGTCAAATAATTTTTTGCTACACTGAATAAAATGATCAAATGGTTTAAATATTTCCAGGATGTGGGTGTGACTGTGGCTGTAGGTGGATGTGGGTCTTCCTTTAGCTCATACCCACACTTTATGCCCACACCCGGCGTGGGCACGGTTTTGTTTAAGGTCAAAATCGTGATTGTTCAATACGTGACTGTAATTTTTGAAAATTCGATTAGTTGTATCAGTGCAATTCATCACAAAGTGGCTATTGACACTGATGGTATGCAAAAAATATCGACTTCTATTGTTCGTTAAAGTTCTTTTTTCCTCGATAAGCAAAACGAAAATAAAATAACAAAATATTTTAGTTCAATGAAGAAAAAATTGAATTATATTCCTTGCAAACTGAAAAATGAAATGCCAAATGTATTCACTGAATTCATTGTTATAGACGATGAATCAATTGAGAGTGTTATCACACTAGTTTCATATGAGGCACCGTAAAAGTTTTTTCGCCAGCCTTTTAGATAAATATTTAAAGGTTCGTTCAAGTGTTGTCTTCCAAGGTACCACTCATCACCAACAATGCACTTGTGCATTCGATTAAACCAGATCATAGAAGTGGGTTTTGAGATTGTCTTCGGTGAAGAGGATACTGACTTGTTTTAGCACATGCAGCATTGCATTGTCGTCAGTGAATTCAACTCCATATTGTTCGTATTTAAATTTTGGAAGTCAAAAGAAGTCATACAAGTTTAGATCTGAAGATCATGTGAAATTTGAATATGATTCAATATGTTTTTCTGCCAAAAATTCCTTGTAACTCAGACTGCCTGTGGTGTCGCATTTTCATAGCGGAAACTGAGACCTCAAAGACTGATCTCTTATTAAGTTATTGTGCCATTTTAAAACCATGTGCTAAGTACGTATTGACAGACTAACTTTCATTTACTAAATCCTAACAGGATGAACTTAGCTAAACTTGATTTTGTAAAGAAAATTAGCACAATTCGTTGGTCTATCCTGTTGTTTGGACGTGTCTTCGCTCTGCATTGATTAGTTTGTAAGGCTTCAACTTTCGATTACTGTATTATATTTTTATCATTATGATAAAACTATAATCTGTCACTACTGATAATGCAGAATACAAGATGAAATTAGTCCCTCCAAATTGCTTTGGTAAATGGCGCTGTAATTGAATATCAAACTACTTTTGCAATCATCAATAAGTTGATAATGCACCCAACGAGCACAAAATTTTGTAAAACTTTAAAAAGATCAGAGTAATTAAAATAACTGTTGTGAAGATGCTCCTCAGGGTATCTATTATCCATTTCGTATGTTAAATGAGAATTATCTTCAGTTATTGCCGGAACAGCAGGAAAATTTTCTTCGGTTGCAGCAGCTAGAAAATGATCTGACAGAGCTATATCTTTGATGCTGAAATTACTCTGTCAGAATTAATGAAACAATCTGATTACTACACGAAATGAAGATACTCAATCTCTTCATGCTGATACTAAATCAGCACGACTTTACTTGTGAGTTAGATTAATTTACTGACCATGAAAAATCGTACATCAAAAGTATTCTCATGCGAACTCAAAATTAACATAGAAAATGCTCTAACACTAGCCTGCAAGAGATGTAAAAATAAAATGAAAGGCAAAACTTCTAAGGCTGAAATTTTGCATATAAACCTAGATATGTCTAAGCATTGTCGTAGAATTATTTCGCTCAAAATACGTCTTTTAAGAGAGCCGGACGAAAAAACGTTGGTAGTGACCTTTGTACAAAATTTGCCACAATGTGTTCTTGCTGTTAGCTTGACTGTATTCGAATCATTCACTGCTATTGCATCTGATTTAATTAGAATAATATTTTATACAAAGAGTATAAGTTATATGAAGCAACAGAAGAAGCGCAGCTAAAGATCAGAGACCAAGATCGAACTGAATCGAACTATAACAGTTCGGTTCGGCTCAGAACTGGGTGGATTCTATGAGTTCTGAACTTCTAGAAGATTTAAAAGTGCAACTTCACTCACGAAAAAGTGTAGTGTGAGTATGGTTTTTGGCTTCCGTTCTCTTCACACTCACAGTCACGTCGATATTTAAATATCTATGAAAAAGATTGCACCATATATTTGTCACCTTTCGTGGCGTTTCTAGTATCCCGAATTTCTAGATGTAAAACACAACTGTAGTTGTTTAAAATTTGTGGGCGAGCACAGTATGATAATGTCAATTTCGGTTAAAATGCTAGAATTGATCTGTTATCTAAATTTCAACGTATTCTTGAGTTCTTAGAGTTGCATCAGTTGTTGGAGTTGCTTAAATTCCAAGACTTTCTTGAGTTTCGTGCGTGAAGTTGCAATTTTGACAGTTCCTTCAGTCCAGAACTCAAGGAATTGGGGTACGCCTAATCTTATTTATAAAATGGTGATGCCGTGGGCAAAAATCAAAAGATGTTTGATCGATAATTTTCATATCAGAGACGGAAAACAAACCGAGTCCAGCTCGAACAAGTAAATTTTGGTTGGATTCAGTGTCTTCTTAGAACAATCGTCTGTGAATAGAAGGGGAAGTGAAGATAGAAGAAAAAAAGTTCCTATCTAATGTTATACACTTGTAATAGGTTATGCAAGTTGCAAAAAATTTGCAGATTGTTGTGAATGGTCGTTATCAGACTTTATATCATGAACATGGCCAAGAAAGTTTTTTGGACGAGTGTTCATGACCATAGTCGTGAGTCACGGCAGTTGCGCTGGTTTCTAGTCGTAACACTCGTGATCACTACAGAAATGTTGTCTTTCTCATTTTTTTGTTTCATAGAAAAAAATAATAGATGTATTGATGATAAAAAAACACACTACGTATTGATGGTGAGTGCCAAGTTTTGAATCTTTGTTTTCAACAGAGATGCTTTCTAACAGCTGTCGCTAAATTCCCATATTGTACATCGTCTGCAGAATTAAGTTATTTGATTTGAAAACAATTCAGTAAGAAAATAAAATTTAAAGAAAAATACAAATTATGTATTTTCGATTTAAAAAAACACAAAGGAAAACTGCATACAACAGTTAATAAGATCATAATATATTAAAAGAATAAAATGCTAAAGTTCAAATGAGACATAAAATAAAAAATGTAATGCTCTTTGCCGAAAACAAGATCGTCGAAAACTCACATCGCCGACGATCTTGTTTTCGGCGAAGAGCATACTTACCAGCAAATAATCCTACACTGCTGATAGCACTATGCCATATTTCAGCACATAGCGGTTTGCTTGTAGCTTTAATATATACCTGAGCGAAATATATTTTTCGATTAGTGATAGTCTGAAGCAGCCAACATTGAGGGAGACGAGGTAACACGTTTTCTTCAAATGGAGAATGTCTTTCTTCTAATGGAATGCCACAAGAGAATATCAGCTCTATTGAAAAAAATAAAAATTTTCATGACGGAAGTGAGGGGGGTGAGGTGGAGATGTTACATGCCTGACAATCCTGCTCCGTTCTAGTCATCACTGTTTCCGACATGTTGGTAGTAAAATAGAAAATAGTGTACAAGTTTTAAAAATAGGTCAGTGAGCTAATGCAAAACTAGTTGAGTAAATGAATGCATTGAAATACACAGACAGCAAAAGTTAATTAATGCTGTCGCTTGAGAGATATTCGTGCCAATGCTTCTTATAGGTTTGTCGCATTGGCATAAATATATCTTTAAGTGTTTTAAAATTCAATCGAAGTGTCATGCCGATTTTAACGACAATTTTGATGTTCTTCAAAACTATTGTGTGACATGTCCATGTTAATTATTTGTCAATGTGTCAAAATTTATGAAATAAGGATCTTATATTCAATTAAGGTTAAAGTAAACTCATGATGTATTAAAAACTCAAAAGATTCATCAGACTTAATGCTGTGAAGTTAGCAATGTATGGTAAAACGTATATGATACTCGTTTGCTTTGCTAGTCATATATTATAACAAATGATATTAGCAATTCATTCTATAGTTACTACTATATACTTTGTAGATTTCACAGATCACTTTGAGAACTTCTTATTCCGAGTCAACAGGAAGATAAAGTAATTGTCGAGTTGTATAGTCATTAATGATATATTTAAGAGCACATGTGCTTTTTCAAGTAAGGCATGATCAAAATAAGTCAATTTCTCACAATCACACAACACAAATAACCTATTCATGAGTCATTTTGTACAATATGCAAAACCTCTTATGTTCAATTACACAACAAAAAAAAAACATTTACGTATAAGATATGCCACTGAATAGAACACAACACTATTTCTTAGGAAAAATATGACGCTGTTTTTCTAAATAACAATTGTCAATGCCATTTTTTATGGACTTTCTCGTGAAGTTGGTGCTATTTGATTGGTAGCTATTTCTGGTCCTCGCCATCGTCTAAGATGTACATCCACTAACACATATTTTAATTGTTGACGAAATCGTTCAGATGTACAAATATAAATATAGAAGGGACACTACAAAATGAAAAATGTAATGAGTATTACTCACTTGAAATACAAAATAAATGTAGACTTACTGCAAAGCTCAAATAATATAAAAGAATGGTCGTAACATTTGCAAAATCTAACTTTGTAATACTAGCTGGATCCTTTACATTAGTTAGAAATATTGTCAGAATTGTCAAAATAGTATATGGTAAAGTAAAAATAAAATTATAAAGAAGTTGATTAAGAACCATCTTTGTTAATTGTTTCTCTAAATAACGTTGTACAAGTGGTACTGTTCGATGTGCTAAATTTTTAACATTATGACGAGCTAAAAGTCCGAAAACACAAGTAATTATAAGAGGTAAAACACATGCAAGAGTAGTAATATAACCATAAATATGATATTGTCGAAAGGTAACATTATCACTATTACAGGCAATGCGGCCTGGAATTGGCCATTGAACTAAATCAAAATATATTAAATATAGAATTCCATGAAAAAGCCAAATAATAATAAATATTAGCGTCAAACAATGAGCTGTTCTGATATTACTCCATTGACGCCATCGAAGACGAGCAGATGTAGACATAAATTGATCAATTGCTGCCAAACATGTACATGTATATGAGGTCAACACACAAAATTGAAGACCATACCATCTGAATTTACAATAGAAAGATGAAATCAATGTCCAATCAAGTTGAAATCCACTGATAAGAATTCGAGAAAGTAAACCTGTAAGTAAATTACCAATATTAACAAATGACATCACAATTAAATAAAATGCACAGGAATTTTCACGAAAAGTTCGTAGACTAAGAAATACAATGATATTGAGCAAACCGCCGATGATACCAAAAATGAATATAGTTGAACCTACATATATAGTTATTCGTTGTGAAACATCAATCAGTGTTGGAAAACTTTGTGTAGACATGTCGATCCTATTTAATTAAATAAATAAACAAACATAATTTTTATTTCTCAATTTGTTAAAACAATAGTGCATTTATAGAATTTTTACTAAGTTTTTCTACAATAACAATGGAAACTCTTTACTAACAATCATGCACTACTGTTGAACAAAACAAAGAAGTATTTTAAACGTCATATTACCAAGCTTTTTGATTATGCTAAGATATCATCTAACATGAGTCTATGAAATAATCATTTCCATTTCAATGCCTTAAAGAAAAAATATAATTATAAAATAGAACAGTAAATCAAAAGCTCAGAATAATAACTTTGAAAAGAGAAAAAGTCTCTTAGGATTTTCCAAAACGATAGTTACATAAAATGACTAGATAGTTGGCATCTAACCAAATAGATAATCATTAATAAGGACATATAATTTCTAAGTGTCTAAAGATCAAGACATTTCGAAGAAAAACATGCACTAAATACTAACAGTTATGTGGAATACTCATTAAAGAATGAATTATCTTCTAATTAGAAGTGAAAACAACAGTAAATAGTCGACGAAGACGACAAACGCAGCACAATACGACAAAATAACCAGATAGATTGTAGAAAACTGAATGTTAATAAATATTTTATAAAAAAACGTGCATGCTCATTAAATTGATTAATTGAGCATAATCATGCATCTTATTATTTCAAGTATACCTTCATGGCAACAATAAATCATGTTGTATTAAATGCCTGGTTTTTTGAGTAAAAAAGGCCCTATTTTTATTTGATGTTCTTTTAAAATTTTATTCGAGGACATTGATTACGAAACACAATAGAAAAGTGAAATTTGTATATTTGACAAAGGCCTTATCTGTGTTAAATGGTTTGGCAATATTTTGAAAGTACATCATTCCATATAATGAAAAGCTTTCAAAATGTTCACACATGTAGATTTCTATTTGATTAGGTTGAAACTCTTCGACACGGAAAAGCGAAAGTAAGATAAAATATATCGTCTTGTTAGTCAACACTCTCCTATTCTTTCTATATTTTTGCGCAGAATACTTTTGCCTACACTTTCATGGAAGCTCAAAAAGATAAAATACTTCAACGGAAATTCACCATTGAAAATTTTTTTTTAATGAAAAACTCAGCATGAATCATTTGAAACTACGCAATAAAGCTACTTCGCATTTGTTGACAATAAACGTCGAGTAATTTGCTTCAATAAAATGACTAGAAAAGTATCAGTGAGTACCCTGGCTCACCTATTTTTAGTCGGAATATGATTTACAAGAGGTCGTTCTATATCTGATTATATAATCGAAGTTTCTCAGCCAAGATAAAAGACAGAAGACCCACATTTTAACTCGTTGTACAACTTCAACATGTAATTAGATTTATATTAAGAACTTAAGCGAAAACAGATGAATTTTTCAAAAGCTATTTGCGCTGAAATTCTCAGAACATCGTTCTACAAAAGCGGTGAAACTTGAATTTTAAGACATAGATTATTTTTATCCATCGAGAAGAAAAAATACTCAGAAGAAGTCTTTTTAACAACTTTTTTTTTGCAAAGCAGTCTTTTCTTGAATACATTTACTTGTCATAAACTCATTACAGGCGGAGAAAACTGAAAAATAAGATCGTTCTATACAAAATGAGCAACTGTTTGTCATACAGTATTTCGAAGGATGAGCATGGGCAAAGAATAGAATCTAAGTCAAAACTTGCGTCACAACAGCAGTAACTAAAGAAATGAGTTCACATAGTAGTACCTTATTAGCTTGGATTTTAATTTTAATTTCCGAGAGTAGCTTTTCTTTTTCTGCTCAAGTAAATAATCTCAAGCTGTTAATAGTACTGTCATACTCTGCACCATCACGGGACACTTTTAGTTTTCACAGATTTTCCAATCAAATACGTTTTTACTATATTAGCTGTAGAGTTGAAAATTGTGTATAAATTTTGAAAATTGATTGGTAAACTAATGCAAAATTAGTCCTGAGTAAATAAATGCATTGAAATACACAGATAGCAAACCTTAATTTAATACAAGCACTTGAGAAATAGTAGTTGTTGATGCTTCTTATCGTTTAATCACATTGACATAAATATCTCTCTTAGCATTTCAAAATTCAATTGAAATGCCACACCAAGTCTAACGGTAATTTTGATGTTCTTCAAAACAATTGTGTGATATTTCCATGTTAATTATTTATCAATGTGTCAAAATTTATGAAATAAGGATCTTATATTCAATTAAGGTTAAAGTAAACTCATGATGTATTAAAAACTCAAAAGATTCATCAGACTTAATGCTGTGAAGTTAACAATGTATGATAAAACGTGTATGCTACTCATTTGCTTCGCTAGTTACATATTATAATAAATGATATTAGCAATTCATTATAAAATTACAATTAAATACTTTGCAGATGTGTCATGTCACTTCAAACACTTATTGTATGTAGGTGCAACAAGAAGATGAAATCGTTGTAGAGTTGTATAATCATTAATGATATATTTAACAGCATATGTGCCTTTTCAAGTAAGGCACGATCAAAATAACTCGATTTCTTACAATAGAAGAATAAAATTGTTTTAGTCATGAATCATCTTTCACAATTTGCAAAAGCTCTTTTATATTCAATTAAACAATAACAAAAAAAGCCATTTACATATAAGATATGACATTGAATAGAACACAACATTATTTCTTAGGAAAAAAACCTACGCTTGTATTCTAAATGATAGTTATAAATCTCATTAGTTCTTTTACGCGTTTTCTCGTGAAGCTAGTGCTATTTGATTGGTAGCTATTTCTGGTCCTCGTCATCGTTTGAGATGTACATCAATCCACTAATACATATTTTAATTGTTGATGAAATCGTTCAGATACACAAATATAAATACAGAAAAGACACTATGCAAAAAGACAAAAATCAATGGATATTACTCACTTGAAATACAAAATAAATGTACACTTACTGAAAAGCTCAAATGACATAAAAGAATGGTCACAACATTTGCAAAATCTAACTTTGCAATAATGGCTAGATCATTGATATTAGTTAGAAAAGGTATCAAAGTAAATTCGGAACCGGACTTAATTGTAGTCGGTTAAAAATTAAACAAGTCATTAACAGAAACAATTAATGATGTGCGATTTTTATCCGCTAATAGAGGAGCTCAAAGGACATATACTTTTAGAAAAATTACAGTAGTGTCAAACTTGAAAGTTGAAGTAAATTATTGAAGACCTTTTCATATATTCAACTGTTCAATAATTGAATAATAAAAGTAAAGATATTCAACTATTTATTCATATTGAGAGAGATATCGTGTGTCTTTTCATGGCACCCACACCAAGGGAGATATGTGTGTTTACATACCATTTAATTGATGTAAATAGTTGAATGCAACTTTCAGGTTTGACATATATGGTAATGGTATGAAATGGTATACAGGTCACTAGTTGGTACTAAACAAGATTCCTATGCATCCAATATATGAGTCAAAGAGGTTCACTCTTGGATGAATAATTACTATCGCGTAGACTTTATTTCTATGCAATAACGAAGGATATAATTAGTTTGGTCAAATGAATGAGTAGGGGTACCAAAAATTTCATGAATGAATGATTTCTGTCCAATCCATATTTTGGAGCAAATTTTGTTCGGCTTTCTTAGCAGCAATTCATAGCTGTGATTTTATCGTCACTGCTTTTCCCCATAAATAAGTTGTGAATTTATTTCACAGGATGAAATCTACGCGATGGTAATTATTCATTCAAAAGTTAAGCTCTTTGGTTCATACATTGGATAATGGGGACCTTGTTTAGTGTCAACTAATGATTTGTATACCGTGTCATATCATTACTAGATTTGTCGATTATATTTTCAGAGGACACTAAACTATAGTTGGATTATCTAAGCTGAGAGGTTTAGCTTGGCGTATTCAGATTTCATTAGATGACGGGTCTTTTCTTCATGAAATTTCACAAGCTACCTATTGTAGTTGATTGTCTACTCTTTAGTGTAAGCATAACTTAATCTAAGGTGCACGCCATTCAAATTTCAAGTAAAATCTTTTTTCGACTTTTTTTATATCATTTGATAGAGCTTGAGCTGCTGATTATGAAAATCTACTTTTTAGCCTTAGTGAATGCTTTCTTCCGGTCAAAAATACGAAATACTCGAAAGGGATCGTTTTCTTCAAAAAATACATTTTTTCCAAAATGTGCGAAATTTCACTACTTCATTCTTTTCTTTAGCTTCTGAAGATAATTTTTTCAGATTCAGCATCAAAAACGGAGTACAGATAAGTTGTTAAATCGACTCTAGACCCAAAACTCTATTTGTGATGACGCTTCGAATTTTGTCGTCTATGATGCGTATAGGTCGATTTTGTAAGCTTATCTAGTTTTTCTATGTAAACAATGGAGTCAATTCTTTTATCTCATTCCATTCATCATACCAACTGTCATCAAACTACGTATTCCTTTTTTCCTTTACTTTCCTGTGTTGAGAACAATCGTTTTTACTGGTATCATAGCAATTTTAGATGGTATTCAACGGTTTTCGAATTCAAAGAAGACTTTTAGTCACAAACTAAATACAGATTCTGAATCAGCACAAAAATCTGAGTCAAATGAAGTGTCTTTCAAGTTAATTTGACGACTTCCATTTTTTCGGGTATCGTCGGAGGACCGAAATTGTTGTATACGGGTCAAAAAATGGAAGTCGTCAAATTAACTTGAAAGACACTTCATTTGACTCAGGTTTTTGTGCTGATTCAGAATCTGTATTTAGTTTGTGACTAAAAGTCTTCTTTGAATTCGAAAACCGTTGAATACCATCTAANCCAGCACTAAAACTTAGCCACACAAAGTCCGTATAAAAAGCAGTGCCCATCCAACTTTGATTCATAACTTATTCTACTACAAAAAGTAGAATATATGTCTCAAAAATTAAGTTTAATTTTTAAAAATTTTTCTAGATTTTAATTTTTTTAGTTTTTACATATTTTTTAATTTTTCAGAATATTTTTTATTTTTCCAATTTTTTAAAATTCATCTAAATTTTAATCTTTTTATTTTTCGTTTTTCTCAATTATTAAAATTTTAAAATTTTGTTTAAATTTTAATTTTTTTAGTAATTTTTAAATTTTTTTTATTATTAACGTTTTAATTTTTTTAATAATTTTTAAATTTTTTTTATTATTAACGTTTTAATTTTTTTAAATTTTTTATAACAATTTTTAATTGTGTAGTTTTAAGTTTTTTACTTTTTGTGCTTAAAAATTTTGTTTTTAACTGAATAAAAATATAAATAAAATGAAAACCTCATCGATGTGATCTCTTGTAGCAACTGTGACGCAGTTACGGCGTAACTACGATCGCACTGTGACCCGTAATTGCGAAAAACTGCGGTGCAGTTACGCGTAACTGTGATTTTTCCACCGTAACTACGCGTAACTACGCTAAAAAAATCGCAGTTACGCGTAACTGCGTCGCAGTTTTTCGCAATTAGAGGTCACATTGCGATCGCAGTTACGCCGTAACTGCGTCGCAGTTTAATCGTAATGAAACATATGGGATAACAAATATCTCAATACATGCTTAATTTTTAGCTATTTTACAGTATTTTTCATCTTCTTCGATATCTTTGATATTTCTTGCCCAAATTTATTCATTCTAATAATTTGGTCTGCGTAGAACCCAAACATAAAATTCATCAGATGAAGCGAAATGAAACAAATCCTCTTCGATCCAATCTTTTAACCAATCACACAGGCAAAATCAGTCTGATATATGAGTTTCCAATTTTAACAATTTTGAAAAAGCATTGAAAGATTTTGATTCTTCTTCATGACAGTCATTATTGATTGTTCTTGGAACGACGTACTCTTTTTCCTTTTCTGCCGTTTCCTTCGTCATAACAGAACAGCTTTTTCTTTGTCGATCACTCTCTTTGCAAATGCTGTTTTGGCTCGCTTGCGATAATTTGAGCTTAGGACCATGTTGCTGCTGTAGAAGAAAAACATTATTTGCCAGCTGTCAAAATATTTTTTACTTCTAAATCGTTTATAAATACACTAACTATGGAAAAATACATGAATTGGTGGTTAAAAAATGTTGAAGATGGTAATTGTAAATTATTCATTACAGATAGCTGTACAAGTCATCTGAACGATGATCTGAAAAAAAGAATGCGAAACAAAGGTGTAAGTTTAGCTATTATTCCAAGAGGGTGCACCCAATACATCCAGTTACTCGACGTACACGTATTTTCTGCTTTCAAAAACCATTACTATGATTGTGCTGAAGAGTTTTTGAAAATCAATGGTCCTCGTTCAAAGTTGAAATTATCTACTTCTCAAAAATGTATTCTATGTACTAGACTTACTGCTTCGGCATGGGCACGTACATTAAAATCAATTAATTTTTCAAAAGCATTGCGTTCATTGGGTTATACTTGGGTGGATAATTCAATCGTTCAAACCAGTCACATACAATGGTACAAATTTGATCCAAACTCTATGACATCAAAGGAACCAGAGCTTGATGATCATGATCAAAATTCACAACAACAGGAACCAATTCCAAATTTAACAAATAAAACTCAACATAAACAACTGACTTTGAAGGATATGTGGAAAATTCGAAAACTTTGAATTTCTTCTTCTATTTGATTATATGAAATAAAAATATTTGTTGATGCATTTCTTTTATCATATGAAAAATACTTTTGCTATAATGAACTGTCAAATATGTCTGCTATGTAAAAAGTGTATTTTATAATAAAGATACTTTTGTTGTGAAATGTTCTTTGTAGCTAGAATAACGACTGTTTTTTTATTGTATTAGTCCTGAAAAAGCGAAAGAAATATCTAGGAACAACCAATAATCATAAACAAAGGCGTTTATGAAAACTATCCTCCAGAATAGCAAAAAAAATCCCCTTTCTAAGGAACATATTAAAAGACCCCCCTTACGACTTGCAAGCGACAGGACAGATTAGAAGATTCCGGGTCTTCTAATGTGTCAATAGCTTTACCGAGCAGGGCAGTCCATAACAAATGAACTCGATTATGGAATGCTGATGTTTCTTATATTTAGCGTTCATATTTTGTTGACATGATTTCAAAAGAAAATTATCCGTGTATAAAAACGATCATAAATCCGTTTAAAGTCCCATAAAAAAGAGTACTATTTCTATCCAATTATAGTGTTATTTTGAACTTCTGCATACGAATCAGTGATTATATTTTGGTACAATGTGTTAGAGATATCATGCAAATACCCACTACTTTACAAAGTTGACTCAATATTTGAGTCGTATTAAAAACGTCGACAATTACATATTATCAGAGTTGTAGAGCAATGGACGCTCTTTCGAATACACTCTGTCACCATATTGAGCAATTCGGCTTTTTTGAAATAATTCTGGACGAAACATTCTTCTGAATCATTTCTTGGTCGATGAGCAGTCGAAAGTTCAATTTTCTTCAAAACTTAAATTAAATATGATATAGTTTGATAGACCTTTTCACGAGGAACCCGAATATAGTCTTGAATTTTATTTCTGACCTTGTTCTAATGTAGTAAAGTATCAAAAATCATTTGTCAAAACTGCACAGAAATACAGTTTTTCAGGATTCTTGTTGGTTTACTGCTAAAAGTATTTTGCGTCTATCTCGATCAAAATAGTAACTTTTTGCAAAAATGTTTTTATTAAAATACTTAGAAATAAAAGCTCTATAAATGCTGAAAATTTCATCGAAATGGAAGATCAACTTTGTACATTGTAGTTGAGATCCTGTGGAAATACCCTATATTATGTATTCATACCACTGAATCGAACCGTATCCTTGTAGACATGCTTTGAAAACATTAGTAACTCATACACAAATATTCATGATAAATTGGGTAACAACTTCGTTTGTTATATTTATTTTATCAATTAGCGTCCTTACGAACCTCACATGGACAGCAAGTAATACTTCTAGAGGTAGTCGCGTTAATGTTAACAACTATGAATATAAATGAGACTCAAGAGAAAATCTGATGCCTTCTATTGCAATGAGACTTTTAACTCTAATATATTTATATCCATAATAACATGTGCATAAATACTGAGAAGGAAAACAAAAACGACTATAGATCACCATCTACTACCAAGAATTCATAAATATTCGATTATTTATCGGTTCATACGAGAAAAAGCACAAGATTTCCATAAATTCCTTGAAATAATTGCTAAATAAAAGAGAATATCTCATTAAAAAATTATTGTTTTTTTTTTCTTTCTCTTTTATGGAGTATTTAAAAAAAAACAAAAATGTTGAATAAGAGACAAATGAAAAAGACATAACATATTTGTTTTAAATAGTTGATTCATTTCAAATAAATCTATCATTTTTTTTTAATTGAGTTTTTAAGAAAGTATATCACCGGCTTGTTGTTCAACCAATGTTGACATTTGTTTAACATCATTTGTCCATTGATCTAATCGTTTTTTTAATGTTGCAACTTGTCGTAAATCTAAAACACGTGGTTTAACCCAATGCATATTCAATTTTTCATCAACTTGATCAATACTTCCACGAACTAAACCTAATGATAAAGCATGCATTGCTAATAATTCAATTTGATCAAGAGGTAATTTGGTTCTTGTAGCAACATCATTAAAACTTAATGCACGTGTACCACCCGCAGCAAATATCATATCCATAAGACAAAGTAATGTGATTTTTTTGTTTAATATTGTTTCAGCCATACGTAAATCTGGTTGAACTTGCCAAACTGGTTTTAATGCTTCATATTTTTCGACATCACCTATATTGAATGCTTGTAATAAATCAATTAACCATTGTTCACGTGTATCTTTAAGTGCATCAAGTACAGGGTGTTGAAGAATTTCACCAAAATTATAAACATTTTCAGCTAATAATGCAGCTAAACCAAGATTAAATGCACGTTCAGCTTTTTCTTTTATTGGAATTGATGAATTATCAATACAGCCTTACAAAACAAAACAAAAAACCTAATATGAAATTTTCTTATTAAAATATATTTACCGAGATATTTAAGTGCATTTTGATAATATTCACTATGATTACCCATAACACGATAATAATTTGATGCTAAATCATAAAATCTTGAATGAACTGTTGTTAAATGATCAAGTTCATCAAATTTTGGTGCTAAATCTTCAATAATTTTCTTTGCTTCTAATAAATTTTTTGTTACTAAATATGCTTTTCCAATTGTTATATCACACAATAAAACAGCTAAAGAATTTGCTTTAACTTTTTCACGTATTTGTTGAATAAATTGTATAGCTTGATCAACTTGTTTAAATGTACGTGTTATAGGTATAATTATTTCAACTAAAGCTAATTGATTAATACGATGTTCGAAATCAGATAGAAAATTTTCATAAAATTTTATTAATTGATCACCTTGTTGTAATTCCTCACGATGAACAAATGATGTAATACGTAATGTTAATTCATGCCATAAACGACTTTGATAGAGAGAATCAAATTCAAGCCATTCATTAGCTAATGAACCACCGACTGATTTACGTTCATTAAGATATGTTTCAACACGAGACGACATTGAAAAACTTTTGTTTCTTTCTTGGTAAATTCGTTGATCAATGAAGAAATAAGTGTGTATGTATATTAATAATAAAGATGACTCATTCTATATTTTTTGAAAATTAATAATTAATTTAAAACCATTGAATTTGAAAAGCGAAAATTTTATTCTTCTTTTTCTTTTGTGTTTGAGTTTTTTATTTAAAAAAATATAATAACAGTGACATCTATATAAATATAGTTATGATTGGAATTATTTGATAATGAAAATTCTGCCTTATCTTTATCGTAGTGTTAACTGTTAGGTAGTGTGTAAGAAATGAAATCTTTTTTTTTGTTTAAAGAGAAGTATTGTCCAAAGAGACCTTTGCTTCTAGTCAAACCATAATATTTGCATATAAATAATGATTTATTAAATTAATCTTATTTCTTTTTTTTTTATTAAGATTACTATTTCAAGAATGAGTTCGGATAATACTTCAACAACCGGAGTATATTAATTTTCATTTTTTATTAATTGATAATTGATATTTATTTTATTAGAAAGTAATCAAATGTAAAGCAGCTGTTGCTTGGAGTGCAAAAAGTCCATTAAAAATGGAAGAAGTTGAAGTTTCGCCACCTAGTAAAGGGGAAGTTCGAATTAAGGTATAAATCAGTAATATTATTTTCTGTAGAAATAAATTTCTATTATTGTTAGAATTTGTTCACGGCATTATGTCATACAGATGCTTATACACTTGATGGTCTTGATCCAGAAGGTGTTTTTCCCGTCATTCTTGTAAGTAGTTTTAAGCAAAGTCTTTTATATAGCGTTATGTTTGTTTTCAAGGGACATGAAGCATCTGGTATTGTTGAATCAATCGGTGAAGGTGTAACATCGGTGCAACCAGGTAAAAATTTATTGTTATTTTTAATTTTTGAAAATTTTATTATTTAGGTGATTATGTTATACCACTTTATATTCCGCAATGTTATAAATGTGAGTATTGTTTAAATCAAAAAACGAACTTATGTCAAGCTGTACGGTATGCTTGTTTTTTTTTTTATATTGAATTGAATTAATGAAATAAAGAAAATATTTAAAGAGCAACACAAGGACAAGGTTTAATGCCAGATAAAACTGTCCGATATAAATGCCAAGGAAAAGATGTTTACCATTTTATGGGTTGTTCATCGTTTAGTGAATATTCAGTTGTATGTAGAACAATAGTTTTGTTTTTTAATATTAAATAAAATTCAATTATTATTAGGTCTTAGAAATTTCATTATGTAAAGTTGATAAAGATGCACCTTTGGAAAAAGTATGTTTACTTGGTTGTGGTGTTTCAACAGGTTATGGTAAGTACAGAATGATTCAAAAGCTACTCGATAGTCTTTGTTTTTGAATAAATTTTCATAGAAAGAAGACAGACTCGTGGCTTTGAGCCTTCGATAGAGACTGTGCCAATACACGGTGTTTTCATCAACCAATATTGAAGAATCATAGATGAAGCTATGCATTGACACAGACTCTTTCGAACGGTGAAAGCTACAAATCTCTATCAAAAGTTATTCTCAAACAAAGATCGCCGAGCGACTTTTGGACCAACTTCTATATACAATAATGAAATTGATTTGATTAGTAATTTGAATTTTTTTTTGCATTAGGTGCTGTTCTTAATACAGCAAAAGTTGAAAAAGGATCACGTGTTGCTGTTTTTGGTTTAGGCGCTGTTGGTTTAGCTGTGATTATGGTAAGCATTTGAGAAAAAAAGATGTTCATTTCTTTTGTAATGGTAAATCTAGGGTGCTAAACACGTTGGTGCTTCACAAATTGTTGCTATTGATACGAATCCGGAAAAATTTGAATTAGGTTAATAAATTTCAATGAATCTTTAAAAGTTTAAATATATATTTTAGCTCGTCATTTTGGTGCTACGGATGTTGTTAATCCAAAAGAAATAAAAGATCCAGTAAGAAAATCAAATAAAATGCTGTTGTTTTTTTGTTTTATAATGGATTTATATTTTAGTTACAACAATATCTTGTTGAAAAATTTGATGCTGGATTTGATTATACATTTGAATGCGTTGGTAATGTTGATATTATGGTAATTGATTAAATAAAATTCTTTCTTTGATTTTTTTATTTTGTTTATCGTAAATAATTCATTATATTTTTAGCGTGCTGCTCTTGAATGTGCTCATAAAGGTAAATAAAGGTTTTTTTTTTTTTTTTATTTAATTAAATTTTTAATTAATTAGGTTGGGGTGTTAGCGTTATTGTTGGTGTAGCTGCTAGTGGTCAAGAAATAAAAACTCGTCCATTTCAACTTGTTACTGGTCGAACATGGAAAGGAACTGCTTTTGGTGGTAAGAAATTTGACATTTACTTATCTAAAATTTTTATGAAACACAATCTGAAGTGTACTGATAAACATTTGAATGTACAGGCATTGTTGACATACGATCAATGGCTGTATATTAATTAAGTCTCGTTATAATATATGAACTACGTCCTTATCGCATTTCTGAAGCAATCAGCCCTTTTCGATCAGCTGTCAGATGCTAGATAGCAAAAATATCTTTCGGATGTGGGTATAGATGAATGGAAGATCTATACCAACATTCACATTACATTTGAATGAGCATAGTATAAGGTTTATTTTGATTATGCTTTGTATGGATTTTTTGCTCAATGTACAAATTTTAGAAAAAAAATGTCATTTTCTCAATTTTGTTAAACCTCTTAAATAATGAATTCTAGAAATATAGTGCGGAAAATTATTTTATGTAAACAACTTTTGATGCTGTGTTCAATGGTTAAATCGAAATTTCAAAAAGGAATGTTCACAAAGAATAAAACAGACAGAATCGACTTGTGTGTCTTTTCTATTGCAATAGCACATGAATGAAATGAAAACCAAATATCAAAATTTGATACGACTTGATCAGAGTTAAAAGATTAGCATACTTAAACCTGAGAGAAGCTGCATGAAAACACTTTATATATATTCGTATCTTGTCTTTCTTGTATTGGCTTTATGAATAAATGAAAAAATCACAAAAAGTTGTACTTTGGTAATCGTAAGCAAAGAATTAATTTTCCAAAATTTTAACCCATAGTAGCTAGATGTTGTCAAATGGCAGCAGCTGATCAAGAGAGTTAAGTACAAGACAGATGAAGAAACGTATCATAAAATTAAAAAAAAAACTCTGATTAGCAACAGTAGCTACATTGTGTTTCACATTTTTATTCCATAGAGATTGTCCTAACAGCATTTTTGTATTAAATTTAAGGTTGGAAAAGTCGTGATAGTGTACCAAAATTGGTTCAAGAAGCAAAAGATGGAACAATGGAACTTGATTCATTTATTTCCCATAAAATGTCATTTGACCAGATTAACGAAGCATTTGATTTACTACATGCTGGAAAATGGTAATTCAAAAAAAAAACAGAAATAAATAAATTCATATTAATTTATTTTTATTTTATTTAGTATTCGTATTGTTCTTCGAATGACATCCCAATAAAAAAACAAAATTATTGATTGACTAAATTTTGCTCATTATGTCTAAGAAGAAGTTTAGTTTTTTTTTGTACTTGAGATTCTTATTTAGTGCTTTATGATTTGGGTCATGCAATTTAGTCTTTCATTTTTAGATAAATATTTTTTTTTGATTATTTGAAAAAATTTTTACAAATGAGCGGTAATTGTTAATGAAATATTTTATATAAATAATAATTTAAAAGAAATCTTGTTCTTATTTTTAGGTAAAGCAAATCCACCAGAATTAAAAAAATTTATGGATAAAAAATGTCAATTAAAATTAAATGGAAATCGTACAGTTATTGGTGTTTTACGTGGTTTTGATCCATTTATGAATTTAGTTATTGATGAAGCTTATGAAGCTGTTAAAACTGGTGAAAAACGTCCTATTGGAATGGTTGTTGCACGAGGAAATAGTGTTTCAATGATTGAAGCACTTGAACGACTTGGTTAAAACAATATCAATATTATCTTTTGTTTCTCATTATTGTTGTTGTTCTTTATAAACAAAATAGATCAGATCGTTGTTTTTTTTTGTATTATGTAACTGGCATATTCATAAAAAAAGAAAAAAGTACTTTTGAAAATTTTTATATTATTCAAATGTATGATAAGATTATTATGGCAATTAAACCTCTCGTCATGATAAAAGACCTGAAGCATTGTATTGTGATGTGACGTTTATGTTAATTACGAAGTTTTAAATTTAGAAATGAATGAAGTAAAAATTAATTAATAGAAAACGAACTATGAATACAAATGTCATCGTATATAAATAATAAAGAATTTCTCATTTAAAGAAAGAGTTGAAAGAAAACAAAAAATAGAAATTCATCTTCAAACATGATACAGATTTTATCTATATTTTCTTTCATAGTTGAAGATTTGTTTCATTTTCATATATATATATATATACGATCGAAAACTTTTGTCTATTCAAGATTTTCTGTTGTTTATTATCATTACTTTAATCATGTTTTCAAAGTTTTAGCAATATCTGTGATGTATTATTTTTCTTTTGAAAACTCATATTTGAAATTAAATGTTGGCTAACGAGGGAACCGTTCCAAGTGATTCACGCCGATTTTGCTTATATTTTGCCCATATGTAGGGGTCAGTATGCTAAGAAAAAGCCTAAGAGGATTTGGGCCCATGTTGCTTCTTTCNTCCGATTACACTGATGATACTTCGAGGTTTTCAGATATGGAGAACTCGAATGTGTACTGCACTTCCATCGGAATACTATTAGTTGTGCAGTGATCAATAGAAATGAAGTTATAGGAAAAACGACTTTCTTCGAGTAAATCAAGGTGCAGAGTTCAAACTTGAGTTGTATTCGGTCCCATATCCTATTGTTTTATCAACGCGCAATATAAATCCAGATTTTAAATGATAGATTTCAGAGTATAATTTTGATATTGAGACAGTCTAGGATGATTGATTTGTATGATTCACTTTTTGAAGTACACGTAACTCTCGGATTTAAATCCGAAGTTTCCGCATTTATTTTTTTAAGGTTCTTGTCTCTATTCAATCTCTTATATTTGTATCTGAACCTTATTTTAATCAACCTGGTTATGAACATACACGTGGTACACCAACTGGTACTGCTCAATCACTTGAATATGATGATAATATTCGACAAGCAACAGTTCGATGGGCAATGCTTGAACAATTACCAAATCCTCCTGTATGTTTTGCTGATATCATACGGCGACATTTCTTTTTAAAACGAAGTAAATAAAAAAATACAATATTGTTGTTAGTTTTTTTTGTCTTTCATTATTTATCTAAATGAAATAATTGATCAATGTGAATCATAGATACGTGAATTACAAGAAACATCATCAACAGAAAAACGTATTAGTTCATCAATAAGTCAACATGTTCCATCACTTATACGTCATACAAATGATCTTAAAAAAGAATTTTATTCTTTAACATCACCTGATCATCTTATTATTCCATCGGAATTAACAATATTTTTACTTAAAACATCATCAAATAATATTAATAATACAACAACAACAACAACAACAACAACAACAACAATAGTAAATATTCCATCAATATCGAATACAAATAAATAACTTGAACAAATTATACATTCAACATCAACTGATGAACATTCAATAGAAATTAAAATAGTACCTAATCTACAATATCAATCACCTTTATCATCAACTGCTGCTACAATTGAATCACCAACAAGATTAATTGAAAGAGAAACTCAACAATCATCAAATTCATCAAATGATCATTATCAACAACAACAAAATCAATCATCATCAACAAATACAAATACATATTATGTAACAATAACATATTCAAATAGTTTAATATCAGATTGAACATCAACTGATACACCAAATCTACCATTACCTGATGATGAAGATGATTTAGATATAGAATATATGATTGAATATGAAGGTAAAATATCTGAAGGTTATCCTGAAGTTTTTTATTAACTTATTTTTTTTCTTCGTTTTTTGTGAAAAAAAACCGAGTGATTCATTCATTGATATCTGTGTTCTTTTCTTCTTCTTCTTCTTCTTCTGTATGTATTCTTTATTCTCAATAAAAATAAGAAAAAAACCAAGAATTTCGTTTTTTTCTTTCGTTATTTGATTCGTGTTATATAAATAATGGTTAACTTGTCTTATTATTAAAATAAACAAATTCTAACGCTATATAACAATATACGAAAGATTATAACTCTTTAAATTTGGTATTTTTTATTAAATAAATATGAAAAATATAATTTATTTATTTGAATAAAAAACATTAAAATATTAGTAGATTTTAGATATTTATTATGATAATAGTTGAATGATACGATTGAGAAAGATAACGATATAAGTTCTAAGACTGAACTGAAAGATATTTCCAATATCAATCATTATGATCGTAGTACATAAGTAATGATAGATCATAAAATATGATCTTCGACATATTTTTCAATATATCTCAATCATTTAATTTGATCTATGTGAAGAAAATTTTTTATAAAAAGATTTGTCTTTTAATAATTTACAAAAACATTTATTTCTATTGAGTTAATTACATTAAATAGGCCTTTTTAGAAAATGATCTCATCGAACAACTTGATTCATTGAATAAACTGAAGCAAAGTCAAAATAAAAAAAAAACACTAATAGAAGAATAGAGTTATTCATTATAACTCTATCTTGCAGAGTAGAACATACTAATACTATGAAAAAAAGTTAACCGTGCACATCTATAATGAAGGATTGAACATAATTAAGGAAAATGTTATCTTTGAAAATTTAAACAATTAAGTCAATCGTTATTACAATATCATCAGTGCTATCAATGTACAGCATTCAATTATTTTCTTTTTAAAAATCCATCTGATTTCAATTCTATGTTGATCATCTATTTAGGACATATATTTAAATTTCTGAAATAACAGTTTACAATTATTTCTTTCTGTAGTAAAGAATGCATTATTCCATCTTGATTAGTTTATCGAGCTCTACAAACTAGCATAAAGTCGATTGAAAACGAACACTCACACTTAATTCTAACATTTGACCGAAGTTATTTTAAAAGCGAATTTTTTTTCCAATTTTCTAAGACAACAAACCAGTATGATCGTCAATATTTTTAGGAAAAACTTTCGTTTAATCTTTGTTCGACATATAAAACTCCTTGATAAAGAGAATTATACAAGATGATTCTTTAAATAAAAAGATCATTTGAATTATCTCTTATTCAAAGGTGTAACTCATCATTGGAGATATACTTCGAACACGAAGTAGTTGAGTTCCAGACAAAGAGATGCTGCGTAGACTCGTCACGTCCACGCCCTTGTTTAAGTTGATTTTAACTATGACTTTTAATTTGAATTGACCTCATTTGAAAAGAAATTTTATTTTAATCTGAATTATTTTCATTGAATTGTTGTATTTAGGTATCCTTGGTGAACGACATTCAGAAAGAATCGTCCTCCACTCTTTTATTGGTCTATCGATGCTGGTTTCATTACAACAGGATCTTTTATTACATTTGGTTATTTTTATTAGGAAGTATAAATGATTAAAAATTGATTTATTGAATTAATTTCTTTTTTTTTTCTTTTAAGTTCATATAAAATCAGACAAAGAACGAAAGAAGCTATTAAAAAAGGTGAAGTAGAACGTATTATCAGTACTGAAGGTTTAACTAGTCAAGGTTTGTTGAAATATTTTACTTATTTTCAGCATTTATTTTTAATTCGAATTAGAAAAAGCAATTGATTTATTGAAAAAACGACGAATTGACGAACAAATTCAAATTGATAATTTCGAATGATATAAAAAATAACCTAATAAACGTCGTGAACAAGAAGGTCTTAGTTAAAATAAAATATGTGTTACATATTCAACAATAAAAATATCAAATGAAGATATTAATCATATTCTAAGATCAATTGTTAAATAAAACGACAACGAAATCTTCTTTAACAACAACAAACATTTATTTGAATAAATACAGATTAAAATAATAAACGAAATAATTATCTTATAGACAACATTTACATCAAAAAAACGAATAATCTTTGCAATTTTTTTAAAGTTTGTTTTTTTGTAATCAAACTTATTTTATTTAGTTCATCAAAAAAAAATCTCATCAATCCAATAAGAAAACTTCTTTATACAAAAAAGAAAGTTTATATTGAAATTAATTATGATGATTTTATAACGATAAGAAAACCTACTAAAGTTATTCATTAACCAAAAATAAATTCTATTGTAAAAAAAAAATGATCCAATAAAAGAATGTCTTCAATCAATTATAATACAAATCGAAAATAATTATATAACATGTCCTATTTATAATCAAGTTTTATCTTATTTAAGTACTATTGATCAACGTCAACAACATGTTAATCGATCTATTGAACAACCTCAAATTCTTAATCTATGTCATAGAGACTTTACTATATACTTGAAAGGTTCTTACTCCTATTTCTACCATCAGTTGAGAACTTTTAGACTTAAATATTTGTGCAATAACTCCGGTCAATGGTATACTGATCTTGAGTCAGAATATATAGCTAGACCTTATTCAAATAAGCTGAAACTATTAGCAAAAGCGAATATGTCTTTGTCCAGATATTGGATTTGTTATTATTCTCGAAAAAAGATAGATTTGGTTTTGTTGAAACTTTGAGAATATTCTAACATCATCTTGTTCTATTTTCTGATGAAATCTTAGTTGAAAATTTATCAATTATCTTTTTGTAAAAGTAATTCTCTGTGTCAATAATCGATCAAGTGTTAAATAGGTATTTTATATTTCGAGGTTTGAAACTCTTTTATAGAAATAGGAGGTCAATAGCTATGAATCACTTTGAACGACTTCATCGTTTGAAGACGAACGAGAAAATGTTTTCGATTTGAGACTATATGTATCATGTAGGCCCTAACGAACTCTCAATACTCAAAAAGCGTTGCGTGCTCTTAGCTCAATTTTGACGAACTATTCCATTTATTCAGCATAATGACGTGCTCTTCCTCTGGATCACTGGAAAAATTCACTTTCCAATTTTCGCCTTGAAATTTTGTGTATAATGATAACCTTGAATGAGACTAATCTATTATGAAAATTTTATGTTTTCAAATTTCTTCTATTCTTAAATACAAATTTAAGAAAAAATATTACTTTTCACAATAATCACACGGCATGATAATTGTTTTATTTTCATATTTTTAGATAGGAACCATCAAAAAATTTCAAAATCTTCAGAATAGACTAGTCTCATTAAGACTTATCGCTATATAAAGTGATATTGAGGAAGATTCTATATATGAAATATCTCAATAGAAATAAGCTAGGTAAATAAACTCTTTTTAGGATGTTGACAGTTTATTAGAACCTACATTATGCACATAGTCTTGACTCGATCGTCAAAATACATTTGTCAAGTTTTTCTCGTAAGAAATCCATGAAATCGTTTTCTACTGTCTCATATTCCCTATCTGTTTTATTTCACTTTTAGTTACACATCTATGTCGAAGCCGAAAAAATTCGATTTTAGAGTCTTATATCCTAGCAAGCTTTCACCGAACCCGTTAATCGCTATTAGATCCTAACGATTGACTGTAAATTTAAATAACTATTTACTTATTCTCATTAAGATTGAACCAAAACATAAAAAAACCTTAGTAGATTATACAAAACCTTCATCTACTATTCGAAAAGCAACAACATTATCAAATTTAAAATGTCAAATGTTGTAGAATGTCATTTCATGTAAAACATACTTATTTATCACATCTTTAAAAATGTTCCAATCAAAACAGTCAAGGAATCAAAATGAATTCCTACAATAAAGAAACAAATAGGAACAAATATTAAAAATTGAATTATTAAAATGGAAATACACAAAACTGAACATGATGAACAACAACAATTAGTAAAACTTTTTAATCGAAAACAAAAAAACAAGTTTTAAATAATTATTTATTTTTATTAAAGGCAATTGGACGTTTCAACGTTCAATTAAAACTGCTTTAGAACCTCCTAATGCTTTCGATATCCTTCAACCTGCATAAAAAAAACCAAAACAATAGAATAAATCTCTTTTTTTTCTTCTTTATCTTCTATCTAATGAATCAATTCTATCATCTAAATTTAGTTTATTAACAGTACCATTATGGAATGTCTCAATGGAAGATAAACTAAAATTATGTTCAATACGCTTATCAAATCTATGTCAACGTCTAATTACAATAATACCTTGAGAAAATCCATATAAATTTCGTTTAACTTCTCTTTAAGTTGTATCCCAAACAAATTTTGGTCATGTCAATTGGTCTTATATAAAAACAACTGATCCTCATTATGATCAAGTAAGGTGACAATAATGATAAAATTCGAATCAATGTTTCTCTCGCTCACTTATCTCTAGTTGGATAAAATTTGACGAGCTTACCACGAATATATTCTTTTTATTTTTATTTGACCACCGTTTGCCGGAAAAGAACCGTACAAAAGTCGAATTTATGTCATTTATTAATAGTTTTAAAAAATCGTTGTCCAATATAGATAGCTCTAACATGTCCCATAGCAGGTATCTATAGGTATTTTTGTAAATCTATCTAGTTTTTCTTTTTCTAACAAAATAGCCTTTTTTTCCATTTGCTGATAACATTGGGCAAAAAGATTTTAAAAAAATGTGCTCGTATTTAGCTGTTATTATCACTATGGTTCAGTTAAAAATCTAAATAGATAGGATATGAAGAATAACGTGTGAAAAATTCCATCGAACGATATATGTTTTAAAGATCTATATATGTATGATCCGACAGAGTTTTTTATGGTTATTCTTCATACTCTATCTATTTGGATTTTTAACTAGACCATCCTAATAAACAATCGCTAAATACAAACGCATTTTTTTTATTCGTTTTGCCTAATGTTACCATCGAATGGGAAAAAAAAATCAAAAAACAGAAACTGAAAAAAAACAAAATAGGTACTTTTGTAGGTTACGTGCTGGTTATTTTAATGAGATAATCTTATTAGAATAAAACTAGATAGGTTTACAAGAATACTCACAAGAACGTGCTATGAGACATGTGGAAGGTATCTATATCAGATGAGACATTTTTAACCTTATTAACTCTATACCTAATTAAATAACATTTTTCCATTCAGTTTTTAACGCTAAATCAGAATAAGATGTTTTCATAAATTTTGAACAAAATTTAACAATCGAAGTTTGACTATGTCTGGGAAAAAAAAAGAAAAGGCGAGTTCATAGTGATCACTTTTAC